GTGTACCCTTCACCACCCCCACCACCACCACCCCCACCACCACCCCCACCCCCACCACCACCCCCACTACCACCAGACCCTTGTGGTAACCCAGGGGAGGGGGGGGCGAGCCTGTGCCACAAACATAAAACCATTGATTCAACTCGCCCACTCCGTCTCTGCCAATTACCTCATGTGAGCGCGCATAGCAGAAAAAAAATCTGATCTTTTTAAAGATTTTATCTTCGTGTTGCTGAACTTCTGCTTAATCTGATTTTCCGTATTGAATTTGACTAAAAAAGATCACATACATACACACATACGCATCCACAAATGATAAAAAAAGAACTATGATGAAAATTTAAATTTTGAGGGAGGTAATTAGCACGTCAGGAGTAAACGACCAGTTGGCGGAGCATAGACGGCCAATTGTTACGCTCCCGTAGTCACTGATAGGTAAGCACACACACACACACACACATACACACACACACACACACACACACACACACACACACACACACACAGGGGCCTGGTAGCCTAGTGGATAGCGCGCAGGACTCGTGATTCTGTGGCGCGGGTTCGATTCCCGCACCAGGCAGAAACAAATAGGCAAAGTTTATTTCACCCTCAATGCGTCTGTTACCTAGCAGTAAATAGGTACATGGGAGTTAGTTAGCTGTCACGGGCTGCTTCCTGGTGTGTGTATTCACCTAGTTGTATTCACCTAGTTGTGTTTGCGGGGGTTGAGCTTTGCTCTTTCGGCCCGCCTCTCAACTGTCAATCAACTGTTTACTAACTACTTTTTTCCACACCACACACACACCCCAGGAAGCAGCTCGTGACAGCTGACTTACTCCCAGGTACCTATTTGCTGCTAGGTAACAGACACATTCAGGGTGAAATAAACTTTGCCCATTTGTTTCTGCCTGGTGCGGGAATCGAACCCGCGCCACAGAATTACGAGTCCTGCGCGCTATCCACCAGGCTACCAGCCCCCTGTGTGTGTGTGTGTGTGTGTGTGTGTGTGTGTGCGTGTGCGTGTGCGTGTGCGTGTGTGTGTGTGTGTGTGTGTGTGTGTGTGTGTGTGTGTGTGTGTGTGTGTGTGTGTGTGTGTGTGTGTGTGTGTTTACCTATCAGTGACTACGGGAGAGTAACAATTGGCTGTTTGTATTCCGCCAACTGGTCGTTTACTCCTGACGAGCTAATTACTCGTCAGTCTTGACCTCACTCGAGCAGCAGCGGTCGTGAGAGGAGGTTGTACAGTATTGTGTTTGTGCTCCCGGCAGTAAAGGAGGAACTCCTAGTTGTGGGCCCCGTTAAGAGGGAAGAACCAGTCAGGCGTCTATGTATGAAGCCTGAGGACGACTTAGTGCTCGAGTCAGGACTAGGAGAACCCTTGGTGAGGCAGTTCTATAGCGATTTTTATGGGCGACCGGTGAGGGCCAATGTCGAAGACCAGGACCTGAACGCCCCGCATCAGATAAATACTGTGGTAAGCCTATTTAACCAGTTGTTAGTGATTGCCTGTGATTGATCATGTGCCTAGCGATCATGGCAAGGGTTTATAAATATAGTTTATGCGTTGTATTAAGGCAGTAAGCTTAAATAAGAGAGTAAAGATGAGGGAACCAGCTAGAGGAGGCGGCGGCACATCCACTCTTTCCGAGTGTCAGTGGGTGACTGAGGGCGGTGGAGGTGGCTCCAAGCGAGGTGGAGCATGGAACCGCCCGGACGGGGGAGTACCCCTCGCGACGTGTGAGAGTTTTAAAAGATGTCGGATGGGAGATATTTGTTATGTGAATACCTTTTAACTGGGTTTTAGTAGGGAAACATTTCTATTGGCATGGCAATGGAAATTGCAGGTTTGTTTGGAGGAGGATGTTGTTGTTGTTTAAGATTCGCTACTTGGAGCAAAAAGTTCCAAGTAGCACGGGCTATGGTGAGCCCGTAGACGGTGGTGGAGGAGGTGATGTAAGAACTCCGAGGCCAGGGAGGAAGTTAATGGCGTAAACTTCGAAGCTGTGGAAGTGAAGGCTTAACTCTGTGGTCGAGCAGGACCCCGTAGCGAAGAGTGGACCTCGAGCTGTGTAAAGGAGCAGTGAAGAGGAGTTTCACGTGTCTGTGGGATCAGCAGTGAAGCATCACTGGTGTTTGAGGAGAACTTCACAGAGCAGCAGTTTGGGGGAGGACTGCGGAAGAACCTTGTTGACAATTCTGGGAGAACCTGGAGACAGACATGGTAGTGAGCCTCTAGGAGCAGGATAGAGGTTCATGGTGACCACTTATAATGTGTAAGGGGAGGAGTGCTTGAATGTTTCTCCGCGTGTAAGGCGCAGTGGAAGGTGGGAGATGGATTACTTTTTTGGTGTTGCCGAATATTTATGCAGATGTCTCTAGTGTTAAACCATAGGCTGAGTTTTATATATATATATATATATATATATATATATATATATATATATATATATATATATATATATATATATATATATATAGGTGATAGGGGGGGGTGAGAGTAGAGGAGAGAGAGAGGGGTGAGAGTAGAGGAGAGAGAGAGGAGTGAGAGTGGAGGGAGAGAGAGCTTGAGGCACAAAGGTTTATTTAGTCAGAACTTGTAGAGGGGTGTGGAGGTCTGGGGGCCGAGTAGAGTAAGAGAAGTAGGTCGGGTGGGGGAGGGGGGGAGGTAGAGCGGGTGAGAGGTGAGGTGTGAGGGGGTGGAGGAGGTAGAGACGGCCTGGACACACGGGGGTGGTATTGGTAAGTGAGGAAACAGCACGGAAAAAATGGAAGCCTCGACAAAGGTCAAAATCCTCGCGAGTTGGGGACCATGGTTGAGCAGCGGTGAGGGAGACACAGGTGCAGGGTGAGGGAGACACACGTGCAGGGTGAGGGAGACACAGGTGCAGGGTGAGGGTGACACAGGTGCTGGTAAGAGCGACACATGTTCCTGTTCTCCTCGCCATTACTCCAGCTGTGTGTGGGGTCCACCTCAACCACATTAACTTTTAGTTCACTCAGCTGTTCTCTGCACTGTTACATAAGGACTTTCTTACATCACAATGGCCCAACTGAGTGTTCCGTCACGTAACACACGTTGCACTATGTACACTTGCATTGCCTCCTGAGAATTTTATATGTCGCAATCATGTCTTCTCATACCCTTCTTGTTTCAAGCATGTTAAGGTCTAGTTCCCTCAGCCTTTCCTTGTAGCTCAGTCCTCTACGCCTGTCTTTTATTTAACCATTTTATCTTTCATTGGTTTGTTCTTTGATTTTGTTCACGTGCTTTACAAACTATAGGGTCAGGTAAACATTTGTTTATCTATAAGATATAAAGTCTTTGTGTCTGTCTGATCAAGGTTGGAGGCCAGACTGTTGTGGTTAGCCTCACGCAACTCTCCGTGGTGAACTATGTTTGTAAGAGGGGGGGGTTGTCATAGGGGGGTCAGGGTCGGCCCCAATGCCACACTCCAAGGGTAATCACACTTCACGAAGTAGGTTGATGTGAAATGTGCAACCAACCGTCCGTAGACTTTAGCATATGTTTAAATATTAGTATGCAGACTGCTTATCACATGCCTCTGTATGACTAACCATCCTGTGTGATGGGGATTTTTTAGCATCACCTAGTTAGCTTTTTTGACACACTGTACTCCACTTCATATAGTCTAGGGTAGCTGCACTAATGCAGATGTACCTAATATGTTAATAAAAAAAAAATAGTATGGGTTACTAACCATCCTGCGAGATGGGGACTTGTATTACCACTGCTACCTTATTCACTCTTGTGTTGTTGATATCCTCAAAATACATCCGGAGTCTGCCAGTGCAGACCGCTTATCACATGCCTCTGTATGACTAACCATCCTGTGTGATGGGGATTTTATAGCATCACGTAGCTAGCTTTTTGACACTTTGTACGCCCCTTCACATTGTCTAGGGCAGCTGCACAAATGCAGATGTAACTAATGTATTAATAAAAAAAAATTGTTCAGATATAAGCAAAAACCAGTGTTCAGCTGACAGACTTGCGTTCTAGGCACAACCTTTCAATTACCATGATGTAGATAGTGTGTAGTGAGAATGGTTATGGTGCCAAGGGGATATGGGGTGTGTGTGTGTGTGTGTGTGGTGTGGGTGTGGAGATGGGGAGGGTGTCTGTAACGGAGATGGGTATTGTGTGGAGATGGTTACAGTGAATACAGTGTGACATGAAAATGGTTACAGTGATGAAGTGAGATATGGAAGGTGTGTGAGGAAAGAGGGGGAGGGGGTGACAGGGTGTGGGGGAGTCGGAGATCGGAAGGATGTGTGTGGTTGGAGGGTTGGAAGGTGTGTGTGGGAGAGATGGGGAGGATGTATATTTATATGTGCTAAGACAGGGAGAGTACATTTGGGGAGACACTGAGGGGTGGGGGGGGGGTGTGGGGAGGAGATGGGCAGGGCGTTTGTGGGCAGAGACGAGGGGAGGATGTGTAGTTGTTTGTTATGATGGACTGTGAACAGTGAAAATGTGTACAGTAATATGAGTGGGTGTGGGTGGGTGGGTGGGTGTGTGGGGCCCGGGCGTAGGGTTGACCCTGTAACCCCCATGTACCCAATCTAGTACATGTATATATGCCCACATGTATATGCATGTATATTCATGGATATACATGTTTTCTAATAACGCTTAAGCAACCCCTCGTGACTGTCATCCATAGTTGGGGATCGCTCGGTCATTTAGCAGCGCTCATCCTACAACACGTTTTCTTCCAAGACGATATTAGTATATCTGACCGACTGTCGTCAGAGCATGCAAGACTAGACACGGAAAATATCTACCTATTTCCATTTTAGCAAACCAACCATAAGTGTGTGTGTGTGTGTGTGTGTGTGTGTGTGTGTGTGTGTGTGTGTGTGTGTGTGTGTGTGTGTGTGTGTGTGTGTGTGTGTGTCCAGCCACCCATCGATCGCCACCCACACTCGAGGCGCAAGTAACAAGTGTGAACTGCGAAGAGCCCTCAGTACGGTCTCGGCCGTGTTCAGGGGCACACGTTGGGTATCGCTGGTCTGTGGCTGTGCTCCGCTCACTCGCCGCGCCACACACACACCGCCTCTGCCGTGGTCAACAGCCACAGCGGAGGACTACCACACACTCACAGCAATTCAGGTAGAGTTTGGAATCTGTGTTTTTTGTCGCTTTTTCTGTGTTGGGTCTTAGCGAAGTTGTGGTGGTTTGTTTTATATGACAATGTTAGCGTTTAGAGAGTGTGTGTGTGTGTGCGCCTTGGGGTCTTGTTTGGCTGGTAGAGATGTTTTCATTTTCAGATCTTGATTTGTTTATGTGCTGGATTAGTTCTTACTTCTCGGAGTGATGTCAGGGCTTTGAAGTCCTTATTTAATGGAAAATGTTTTGTTAGTTTTTCTTTTTTAAATGTTTAAAGTTCTGTGTTTGTCTGGGATATATTTTGTGTTGTTTTTCTTGTATTAGTTTGTTTAACTTTGCTGTTTTTTGGAGTATTTTCTTTAAGTTATATTTTATTTTTTTGAAATCTGGAGGATTATACTTTTTTAGGAAATGACGTTTCGTTAATGTTTTAAATGTTTAGTTTTAATCTAAACCTTCGTTCAGGAGCTTGTCGTTCTGCGCTTCGGGAGTCTCTTATATATTGGTATTCTTTTATAAATGTACCGTTATGTGGTTTACCTCGAGCAGGTATGATCGGGGCATTGTTTACCTGTTCCCAGATCTGAGTTAGGAATTAATCATCTGTTTAATTCTTCCTTGTATTCATCGTAAACGGATATTCACATCTGTAGTAAATATCGACATTTTGCAAAAAATATTCATGTTTTTAATCAATATACAGAAACCCATTGTTTTATTTCTGTTGTTGTTTTGCGATGAAGTAATATCGATCTTGGTCGACTACTGACTCGAGTTGGTTCATTGTTTGGTTCACTGCGGCTCACTGGTGTGTTTAGCTTCACAGCTCATACCTCTAACCTCTGTGTGTTTACGGCACGTTGAGAATATACAACTGAACCAGTACGTGAATCTTGCAGCCACATATCCCTAGACTTTTATGATGCGGTTCTGAATGACGAGGGAGGAGGATCAGATCATTGATATCATTCACTCTCGTGGTCTTGAGTATGTCCTCATGATGCATCCATAGTTAGCCAATGGCGGCTGTTGATCACCTGGCCCTGTGTGGCCAGCACCTGGCCCTGTGTGGCCATCACCTGGCCCTGTGTGGCCATCACCTGGCCCTGTGTGGCCATCACCTGGCCCTGTGTGGCCATCACCTGGCCCTGTGTGGCCAGCACCTGGCCCTGTGTGGCCAGCACCTGGCCCTGTGTGGCCATCACCTGGCCCTGTGTGGCCATCACCTGGCCCTGTGTGGCCAGCACCTGGCCCTGTGTGGCCAGCACCTGGCCCTGTGTGGCCATCACCTGGCCCTGTGTGGCCATCACCTGGCCCTGTAGTACCATCACCTGGCCCTGTAGTACCATCACCTGGCCCTGTGTGGCCAGCACCTGGCCCTGTGTGGCCATCACCTGGCCCTGTAGTACCAACACCTGGCCCTGTAGTACCATCACCTGGCCCTGTGTGGCCAGCACCTGGCCCTGTAGTACCATCACCTGGCCCTGTGTGGCCAGCACCTGGCCCTGTGTGGCCATCACCTGGCCCTGTAGTACCATCACCTGGCCCTGTAGTACCATCACCTGGCCCTGTGTGGCCAGCACCTGGCCCTGTAGTACCAACACCTGGCCCTGTAGTACCATCACCTGGCCCTGTAGTACCATCACCTGGCCCTGTAGTACCATCACCTGGCCCTCTGGTACCATCACCTGGCCCTCTGGTACCATCACCTGGCCCTGTAGTACCAACACTAACTCGTGCCAATATATAACACTTCACATAAACTGATGTTCCTTAAGTGTAAATGAACCTAAGTTTTATAATACAAATAAAAAAAAAGTTTAATAATTGCTCAAATGATTGATTCAGAATTTTTTGCAAACTTTTCCTAGCAATATTGAAAAAGTGTACAGTTTTTTTATCTATTCCGATACAAAAAAAAAAATATTTCTCCGATTTAGCGTGCCGAATACAGCCGGGGAGATGACTGTGTTATCCAGAGAATTTATTTCGAAAATGTTGAATTTTATGCTAAAATGCTGAAGGCCGAGTTAACATTACTCGAAATATTTAAATAAAATTACTTTTATGTAATAACTTGGCATAAATTTGCTCATTTCGGTATTAGAGCTGTAGAGCTGTGACGTAATTATAGGCCTGTAGAAAAATTATAGGCATGTTAAGTAATCATAGGCCGTTTATTTACAATTCTAGGACTGGGGTAATTATAGAACAAGGAGTAATTAGAGAACTTTTGGGTAATTATAGAGCACAAAAGAGAATAGGTAATTATCAGAAGAAAGCGCCAAGCCATTACTACTATATACCACATGAGAGGGATCAGGATAAGGATTTGTGAGACGGGGGAAGAATGGTGCCCAACCATTTGAATGGTCGGGGATTGAACCCCGACCTGCACGAAGCGAGACCGTCGCTCTACCGTCCAGCCCAAGTGGTGGGGCGAACAGTGTGTGTGTGTGTGTGTGGAAGAGAGCAAGGAGTAATAGTGCCGTGGGGAATAATTATAGACCGTGGAGTAATTCAGGGGAGCTGGGGTATTTATGGGGTGGTGAGGATTAATGGGGAGACTAATTACTCCCCCAACAGAAGTGGGGAGTAATTAGATCATCTCCTCTGGAGCGAGTGGGAACAATTTTCTTACTTCTGAAGAACTTCACAAAACAAGAAGAAAGGCGACTGTCTAATGTTCCTGGGAAGATCATAAAGTTTGGTGTGTGTGGAGGAGCGTGGTGAGGTGCCCCAGTGTGTGGAGAAGAGTGGTGAGGTGCCCCAGTGTGTGTGTGGAGGAGCGTGGTGAGGTGCCCCAGTGTGTGTGTGGAGGAGCGTGGTGAGGTGCCCCAGTGTGTGTGTAGGAGCAGCGTGGTGAGGTGCCCCAGTGTGTGTGTGGAGGATCGTGGTGAGGTGCCACAGTGTGTGTGGAGGAGGAGCGTGGTGAGGTGCCCCAGTGTGTGTGTGGAGGCGCGTGGTGAGGTGCCCCAGTGTGTGTGTGGAGGAGCGTGGTGAGGTGCCCCAGTGTGTGTGGAGGAGGAGCGTGGTGAGGTGCCACAGTGTGTGTGTGTGGAGGAGCGTGGTGAGGTGCCCCAGTGTGTGTGTGGAGGAGCGTGGTGAGGTGCCCCAGTGTGTGTGGAGGAGGAGCGTGGTGAGGTGCCCCAGTGTGTGTGTGGAGGAGCGTGGTGAGGTGCCCCAGTGTGTGTGTGTGGAGGAGCGTGGTGAGGTGCCCCAGTGTGTGTGGAGGAGGAGCGTGGTGAGGTGCCCCAGTGTGTGTGGAGGAGGAGCGTGGTGAGGTGCCCCAGTGTGTGTGGAGGAGGAGCGGGGTGAGGTGCCCCAGTGTGTGTGGAGGAGGAGCGTGGTGAGGTGCCCCAGTGTGTGTGGAGGAGGAGCGGGGTGAGGTGCCCCAGTGTGTGTGGAGGAGGAGCGTGGTGAGGTGCCCCAGTGTGTGTGGAGGAGGAGCGTGGTGAGGTGCCCCAGTGTGTGTGGAGGAGGAGCGGGGTGAGGTGCCCCAGTGTGTGTGGAGGAGGAGCGTGGTGAGGTGCCCCAGTGTGTGTGGAGGAGGAGCGTGGTGGGGTGCCCCAGTGTGTGTGGAGGAGGAGCGTGGTGAGGTGCCCCAGTGTGTGTGGAGGAGGAGCGTGGTGAGGTGCCCCAGTGTGTGTGGAGGAGCGTGGTGAGGTGCCCCAGTGTGTGTGGAGGAGGAGCGTGGTGAGGTGCCCCAGTGTGTGTGGAGGAGGAGCGTGGTGAGGTGCCCCAGTGTGTGTGGAGGAGGAGCGTGGTGAGGTGCCCCAGTGTGTGTGGAGGAGGAGCGTGGTGAGGTGCCCCAGTGTGTGTGGAGGAGGAGCGTGGTGAGGTGCCCCAGTGTGTGTGGAGGAGGAGCGTGGTGAGGTGCCCCAGTGTGTGTGGAGGAGGAGCGTGGTGAGGTGCCCCAGTGTGTGTGGAGGAGGAGCGTGGTGAGGTGCCCCAGTGTGTGTGGAGGAGGAGCGTGGTGAGGTGCCCCAGTGTGTGTGGAGGAGGAGCGTGGTGAGGTGCCCCAGTGTGTGTGGAGGAGGAGCGTGGTGAGGTGCCCTAGTGTGTGTGGAGGAGGAGCGTGGTGAGGTGCCCCAGTGTGTGTGGAGGAGGAGCGTGGTGAGGTGCCCCAGTGTGTGTGGAGGAGGAGCGTGGTGAGGTGCCCTAGTGTGTGTGGAGGAGGAGCGTGGTGAGGTGCCCCAGTGTGTGTGGAGGAGGAGCGTGGTTAGGTGCCCCAGTGTGTGTGTGTGGAGGAGCGTGGTGAGGTGCCCCAGTGTGTGTGTGGAGGAGGAGCGTGGTGAGGTGCCCCAGTGTGTGTGTGTGGAGGAGCGTGGTGGGGTGCCCCAGTGTGTGTGGAGGAGGAGCGGGGTGAGGTGCCCCAGTGTGTGTGTGGAGGAGCGTGGTGAGGTGCCCCAGTGTGTGTGTGTGGAGGAGCGTGGTGGGGTGCCCCAGTGTGTGTGTGGAGGAGGAGCGGGGTGAGGTGCCCCAGTGTGTGTGTGTGTGGAGGAGCGTGGTGAGGTGCCCCAGTGTGTGTGTGTGGAGGAGCGTGGTGAGGTGCCCCAGTGTGTGTGTGTGTGGAGGAGCGTGGTGAGGTGCCCCAGTGTGTGTGTGGAGGAGGAGCGGGGTGAGGTGCCCCAGTGTGTGTGTGTGTGGAGGAGCGTGGTGAGGTGCCCCAGTGTGTGTGTGTGGAGGAGCGTGGTGAGGTGCCCCAGTGTGTGTGTGGAGGAGGAGCGGGGTGAGGTGCCCCAGTGTGTGTGTGGAGGAGGAGCGTGGTGAGGTGCCCCAGTGTGTGTGGAGGAGGAGCGTGGTGTGGTGCCCCAGTGTGTGTGTGGTGGAGGAGCGGGGTGAGGTGCCCCAGTGTGTGTGTGTGGAGGAGCGTAGTGAGGTGCCCCAGTGTGTGTGGAGGAGGAGCGTGGTGAGGTGCCCCAGTGTGTGGGGAGGAGGAGCGTGGTGAGGTGCCCCAGTGTGTGTGTGGAGGAGGAGCGTGGTGAGGTGCCCCAGTGTGT